GATCTTGGTCTTCTTCATCCTCATCCAAGTCCACTACTTCGATACCATCCCTCTCACTGCTATTTGCGTTGGACTCCGTCCCAACAGTCGAACCGTCATTGGCATTCTCCTCCTCAGATTCTTCGTCTGCGGATTCTTCGGCTCTTTGCCCAGAATCAGCTTTCTCTTCTTCAGTTTGAGTGTCCTTTGGGTCCTCTTGAAGAGTTTCAAGAGGGGACTTTTAAAGAGAAGCCCTTTGCAAATCCTCTGCAGATGTTTGAAGTGGTGTTTCGTTTATCTCTTTCAGAGGAATGGAGGTACCTTGATCATCCTGCTGTTCAGAAGCTCCAGCTAGAACCGCCATATTGGAGGAACCTTTATTTTGAACCAGGTTGCTGGAATCTCCTTGAGGAGAGGAGTTGAGCGGAGCAGCAACTCTGGATGGTGAGTTCGAAATAGTGGAAGCTGGATTCAAGATGTTCTGCAAGGAACAACAGAATGTTAAGAAAAAACATTCACCAAGGTAATAAGAAGTTAGTATTGTCAAAAATTTAAAGGTTCAATTTACCTGTGGACTCTCAGAGGAGAGGTTACTAGCTATACGTTCCAACGTTGTGTTGGAGGTCGAAGGTGGATTTTTGGATTTGGGTGAGGGAGCAGCATCCCTGGAATCAAGTCCAGAGACACTAGTTGGAACTGTACTTTTCGAAATATCTTTCTTTGGCTTCTTCTTCGAAGCAGTGTTTAAGTTTCCTCCAGCCTTGGGATCTTCCCCAGTGGTGCTTGATTTCCGCTTCTTGGGAGTAGTAGGAGGAAGCTTGTTGGTCTGAAAGGATTTTAAACAAAGAGTTAGATGCAAACCATAGAACATGAGTGAATTCGAAACATCAAGGCTAAGTGATTACCGTTGGAATTGGAACACTGGTTGTTGTTGGTATTATTGTTGTTGTTGTGGTTGCAGCAATAGTGGTTGTTTCGGGTGGAGTCACTTTGTCAGTAGTTTCGATGGAGGTTTGAGAGGCACTCCCTTCTTTTGACTTCGAGGCAGTTGTCTTTATCCTGATGGCTGAAAATCGAAACAATTAAAGCAAAGGTTAAAGATATGGAAAATAAAAGACATTTGGGATTTTCCCAAGCATTCGCACCTGTGCCTTGATCAGATTTAATTGACATGGCAGAAAGGTCGTATCGAAGGTGTCCTGGGAAATCATGAAGCCAGTATCGAGCCCATGTCACAGTCTCAGATGGCTTTGGTTTCCTTTGAAGATATTTGAACATCTCTTTGCAAGTAAACCACCAAGGATATGGGGGAAACCAAGCCAGAGCCAGTTCTGAGGTAGGTAATCTGGGAAATTTAGGTGGATGCATTTCGAATGCCAACCTATACCTATCCTCAGGTGACAGCCTGAAGGAAGTTTTAACTTAGAAACTTTTTGTTTAAATTTTTCCTTCAAGGTCTCAGCCGCTTGATGCACAGTGGAGTCCAAGCGCGTGGGGTCGTAAGTAGTTTCAAAATAATTTTGGAAAGCTTTAATCTCTTTGGCATGAGTAAACATACCTTTCTTTGTTGGTACCTGCACATCGAAGGCATCAATTAGTTTCTGTTGAATTGTAAGTGTATCGAACATATAAGTTTGATAAAACTTGGTCCACCATTCCAGAAACCCTTTAGCTGTGAGATGGTTAGGTTCGAAGGTTATCAGCTCAAATTGGGCAAAGCCTTGATATTGTTCTTGCTGTATTTTGGCTTCCCGTGCCTTGAAAGTTCGTCCAGAAGTGATGGCACTCTCAGTTTGGAATAAAGGTTCAGGAATCAGTTGGCATAAGCCAAACTGCCTCGAAACAAAGTTTGGTTGGTAGGCAAAGAGAAAAATCTGGTTTTTGGATGGAGTTATTCTTGAAGAAATGAGTCTAGGTAGCAAAAAAGCTCTCCATACATCCTGAATCTCCTTGCTCTTGATAGCTTCTGAGAGAGCCATGGTGAACCAAGAAGGTCCATGAGCCCTCGAAGCAAAAGGCGCCATGCTCTCTTCGAACTTGTGCCTTTTGGAGAATATCATGATGTACTTCGAGAATTGGACTTTGAAGTCATCTTTGTCGTCGTTAGGAGTTAATCTTCGAAGCCTAGTGCCTTCGACTATCCTATCATTTATCTCATAATCTTGCTCATCAATGGTGTTGGCGGTTGATAAGGAGGGTTCGAACATGGCATTTAGCCATAGTTGAAGTAACCAAAAAGGGCCAGCCAACAGAATATTTTTGGAGGTGTGGGATTTGAGGACCGAAACAGCTGACCTCAGGCTTTCATAAAGGTCAACTAAGAGTAGTTCACTTAGGCACACTTTTCGATTTTCATGCAAGTCCCTAGCTAGAGGAATGAACCTACTAGCTACCTGTAGGGATCTACTGCAGAAAACGTATCTTGATAGCCACAGGGTTAAGAAAGCAATGTGCTCTACGTCAGACACATTGTCCCCCTCAGCATGGTAATGACTGATAAATTTGGAAAAACTGGCTAGCTTGACTTCGAAGTCAATTATGCTTGAATGTTCTTCGTTGTCGGGTATATAAGTTTCTCCCACTGGCGATAGCCCAGTGATGGCCGCTATGTCGAAGAAGGTTGGGGTGATCATTCCGCCTGGGAGATGGAAGGTGTTATAGGTACTGTCCCAAAAATAGAGGGACGCGAATAGCAGAGGGTGGCTGTAGGTGAAACCAGGCTTCGATAGCTTAATCAGGTTATAGATACCTAATTCTTCCCATTGCTGGGATTTCTTAGCTTCTACTTTCTTGAACCAATTTTGATAAGCAATATCAGAGGTGGGGAAAGATCGAAATGGCTTAAAATTACTTTTTACATAATCCAATACAAAGGGGTCCTTAGGAGGAACAGTTGGGTTTTCTATGGTATTTGAACTAGAAGATTCTACTGCCTTAGGGGCGTCCATTTTGTTAAACAAGGGTTTAAAACTGTAACAAACTGGGAAAATCGTCCTGGTGTCTTTTAATATTTCAAAAACCGTAAGAGGGCCATTTAAAGCTAACCTCTTACCAGCAACGTTGGTAGGAATGAGTACCTGTGACGCATACATCATTTCTTTTTCCTTTGAAATCATCTGAGGGGCAAGAACGGATTGACCTTGGTGAGTGATGATTTTACTTTCCATGGTAGTTCCTGCAGGTTTTCCTTTCTTCTTGGAGACTTTCTTGAGTTGGGATGAAGTAGAAGAAGACATTTTTGAAAGATGTTGAAAGATTGGGTTTTTTGACGAGAGAAGGAGGGTAAAAGATTTAGAGTGCGAAAAGAAAAGAAAAAGATTAAGTTGGTGATGATTTATAATGGGGAAGTTTAAGCATCCACCGAATAAGGGTGTGATACATGGAGATCATGGGTTGGTGTGATGAAGAGGTGGCGTAAAGTTAACATGGGTAATAGGCGTGATTTAAAGATAATCATTATTTGTAACTGCACCATGCTGTGAAGTGGCTCCAGGCGGTTAAGGAATCCAAAAGGTGCTATGATTGACGTGACTGGAGTCAAAATGCATTAAATGTTACGATGATTCGAAAGTCACATCAAAATCTTGTGTAGGTGTTTAAAATAGGTATTTCTCAGAGGAATCGAAATACATATTTTAAAGGGGCAATTTGTTGGCTGAAGATTTTGATAATGTTATTAGAAGCCAAATGAATTAAACGTTTCGATCGAAATGAGGTAAAGCGTCATGCTTCGAAGTAGCAGAAGCAGTGTTTCGAATAAGTATGTCAAAGCTTGGAGCTTCGAGTGGCAATTATGGGAACATATCTAAAGAAGTCTCGAAATAACAACAAGGCTGTGTCTGGGAGGTGCGTTTGAAACGGAGAAGTACCAAAGCATTTGAAATTCAAATGGAAGCGGGACATTCGAAGTTTGAAAGTTATGTGCTGGAGCATTTGGGGACACGTGGAAAGGAGAAAGAGGCATTGTCCTGCATGTTCTGAACGTGGCATAATCCTGTAGCAAGACCGTTATGGTCGAATTAGTATAAATAGGAGTCTTAGTATTAGGATTTCGTGTGTCATATCTATTATACTAAATACTCAGTAACATTCAAACTACCACATGGCAAGGGAAACGAATGCAAGAGAAATGTATGTATGATAGCACCATGTATTTCTGATTTAATGAAAATCTTTTACCATTTCCAGTACTTTCCTTTATCTTTTTGTCAAATAACATTTACAAGTTTTTTCATTTACAGTCTTTTCACTTCGAAATCTCTTCTTCAAAGTTTTACATTTTAATGCTTTCTTTACATTTTAAGCACTTTATATCTCAGAAAATTGTCATATTGTCCATACCTTTACCTTCAAGTCTTATTCTTCGAACGCATATTTTTACTTAAAGTCATTTACAGATTTCTTGCATTAAACGCTTTCTTCATATTTCAAACCTTTTACGTTCCAGAAATCCCTTATATTAACTGTTTTATAATTCAAAACCATTTACTTGGCTTTTATGCAAGTTTATATGTCTTTACAATTAGCATTTATTCATGCAACTTAGTTTCGTACACGCACATTTTGATTACATCTTTAGACTTTTTGAGAGAGAAATCGAAATAAGCCAAACGCATATACAACACTCAAATATCAACCATGAATATCCGTTCGATCGTGAGAATAACCTTAATGTCCAAGGAGTCCTAGGATCAATCTAGTCGATCCTGTGAGTTACCAGAGGAATTGAATAACAGTCAGAAAGATTATTCAATAGTTTGGAAGACTAGCGGTTGTTTACCAGAAATCACTGGAAACACAATCACAATCCACAAATAATAAAAATAGATTTTAAGTTTTATAACTCAAGACGTAAGCATCTTCATGGTAAGAATTTCATAGTTGAACAACACATATGAAGGAATCGGCCAATAACAACAACCAATCACATATATATGCATGGAGAAATTTATCAAAATAAGATATTAATGATTCAAACAACAATTTAATAATACAATGTATTGTGTGGTCGTACTTAGCAACTAACAAAGTGATTGGAAAACCTCCTTGTATACAACATTTATAGTTGTAGAAGAGGGTGCATTCTCTTTGTCATGTATTAAGATTTTAAGACTACTCTTGGTTGTAACTCTTGAAATTGTCACATACAATTGTCCATGACTAAAAACAGGTGTAGGAAAATACAACCCTACACTCTCAAGAGATTGACATTGGGATTTATTAATTGTCATTGCGTAAGAGACAATGATTGGAAATTGTCTCCTAATCAACTTAAATGACCATGGTGACTCAGAAGGTGACACAGACATCCGAGGAATGTAGAAGATGTTACCTATGTTCTTTCCAGACATAATCTTTGCCTCAATAACATGATTTGCTAACCTTGTAACAATTAATCTTGTACCATTGCACAATCCATCACTTTGATCCATATTTCTCAAAAGCATAATTGGGGTACCAACCTTTAATTTGATCTTATGATTTGGTAGACCTGAAGTTCTTAGTTTACTAAAAAATTCTGGAGTTAGACCTTCATACGCTTCAGTATACAAAGTATTCATTCTATCAATTGAATCAAAACTCAAATACTCCTTCTCTTCTCCTAAAAATAGAACAACATGAAATTATTAATAAATTTTTGTGAAGTCAACATGATGTATGAATATTATGTATGTATATATAGAATAAAAATTAACGTTCTTTTACCTGATATTATGTCCAATGCATAATGGTTGATTATTTCCCAACTTCAACGATTGAGGCAATAATGGCTTTTCCTTGTAAATATCCAACATTTTGGTAATTTTCCAACAAATTTGGATATGTGCTTTCAACTATAGCTTTGATAGGATCCTCAAAATTGGATATCATTAGTTCTTGAGGAATCATAATATCAGACAATCCATCGTTTGGTTCACATATCTTACCATCCCCAACATATAATATCCACTTAGAAAATTATGTCAGTTCTTTAGAACTTGTATTATCTCTTCCTTGTTGAAGTCTCATATTTTTTGTCAGTGTTAAAACTTGAAAATAGTTCCACACATAAGATGATCAGATGGAAGCATGAACAATATCAGAACGCCCTGCTCTTGGAACAACAGGGAGAATTTGTCAAAAATCTCCTCCAAAAATAACAACTTTCCCACAAAAAATTGTATTCGCAAGTCCTTTTTTGCTCATGACATATTTGAGGGTCTTATCCAATGCCTCGAAGCAGTTCTTATGCGCCATAGGTGCTTCATCCCATATTATGACATCGGTTGCTTCAAATAACTTTGAATGTTAGGTGTCTTTGCCAATGTTACAAGTAGAGGTGTCAAGGGTTGGAACGAGAATTTTGAACTTTGAATGGGCAGTTCTTCCACCTGGAAATAATAACGAAGCTATGCCACTTGAAGCAACGGTAAGAATAATTTTTTTCTCCGAACGAAGTGCACTTGATAGTGTTCTCCACATGAAAGTTTTACCAGTCCCTCCGTAACCATGTAAAAAAGAACACCCCTCCTCTTTTTTTGTTGACAACATCCATGATTTTATTGAAGATTGAACGCTGCTCATCTGTAAAAATTTATTCGAAAATTCAGTAGTCTATCACAAAAATATTAATAGTTTCATGTCATAGTATAATAATAAAAAGATGAACAATTACCTGTTAGGGCGGTAAATAGATTATGGAAATTTTCTCGTTCTGTATCGGCATTGTAATCAAGTTCGTCATAAATAAGTCTATTGCCCACGTGTCGTGTCACATACGAATCCGGATAAGGCATATCTTTAAATTCATGCAAACTTCTTCTATTGGATTGCATCATAATCTCAATCTCAATGAGTGTCAAATTTTTCAACTGAGCATTTGATAACTGCATATCTATGCAAAAATTAGAGAAATTAACAATAAATATATATCTGCCATTATCTTGGATGTAGAAATGAAACATGTAAACGGATTTGGAAAAATTATAGAAGTTGTGATCAATATAGCCATAATGTAAATACTAAACCATGTTAATGCATTAATATAATAATTATTATTATTCACGAAATAACAATAGATATATAATGGGTATTCAGATTACATAGTTATAGCTAGACTGCTGCATATTGCAGGATTGAGTTGTGTACAGTCTAAAGCTTATGATACATATATAGCTTATATACTTTATTAGAAATGTATAGTGCAGTTTCAACTATAACTACATCACCCTGAATATAGTGATAAGTGGTTTGTTGCATATTGAATGATTGAGTTGCATATTGAATGATTGAGTTGCATACAATGTAAAGCTTATGGTTAATATATAGCTTATTATACCTTTATTAGCAATGTAAAATGCAGTTCCGACTATAAGTACATCAACAGTAAGTTTTTAGACCAAATTCATGGGGAATGACTTTGTATGCAACTTAACAGTGATATATAAGTTTAACATCAACACTAATATGTAAGCCATTCTCTTAGCCTATATTAAAGTATTTAAAAATATAAATTAAGTGGGATGTACCTGTTCTATTTGTCGCTTGTCTTTGTTGATAAAGAATACCTTCGGATAATATCCTCCAAGTTTTTTTTCCAAACATGTCGTGGTCTTTTAATTGTACCGGACAGTAGCATAGTGACAAATAACTTTCTCAAAAAATATCCGGAACCCCAATCATTTGTCTCATTTATGGCTGCAACATATTCCTTGTCATCATTAAGAAATCCCATTTCGAAGCATGCATCTCTAAAATTGTCACGAACTATTCCACCGACCTTCTTTATATCTTTATAGCAAGTCGGTCTCTTGACAACTGTCAACATCATTCTTAGGTAATACAACTCACCGGTCCTTGGAGGCACCCAAATTAGTCTTCCAATGGTACGACCTCTTTTACGTGGATTCCATCGTCGGTATCTTTTATCATAAAGAAACTTAGAAAGAAAAGTAGAGTATGTCAAATTCCTCGCCTCTTCATATGTTTTGTTTGCTTCCACCCAAGCTGTAAACATGGATTCTTTTACACTTGGTTTGTCAAGGACTTCATCTATCAGTTCATAATCAGTATAATAAACCAGATTGTCGCCCTCAAGATGAAAATACAACCTTTCAACAGCAGGAGATCTCCCATGTATAGGAAATGAAAAGATCCCCTAACATGCTTCACTTGGTGACACGTATCTACAATTAAGGTATTGCTTGATTTCATCAACATTTCTAACAACACAAATTCCGTCTTTGTCATTTTGAACAACAACTGCAGTTATTCTATCATAGCCCTTGTTAATATACTTGAATAAGTACTTAACCGAAGTGCTCTGATTGCACCACTCCATATTTATGTGAGCCTGAAATTTCTTTAATAGATTTGCATTATAGGGAACGACATATCTATTATCGAGAACAACGTTCTTTTTCACAACTGTATTTCCAGTTTCCCTTCTTCTGTAAATGGGATATCCTTCGTGATCAACAACGGTTTGCAACTGAAATTTTTTGGGAAAGAATTTGGAGCACTTATCGTTTTTCATGAAACTTGAAGACCAGTCTGCTAACCCACATGGACCATGAATCATATGTGTCTTTACCAAATGATACAATTCCCTATCATCTTCTTCGGCCAGTATTTCTGCCGAAATGATATTGTTGATGTCTTTTGGAGTGGGAAACTTGCTCGACCGATGCATGAAAAGTAGAATATGTGCATGTGGTAAACCTCTTTTTTGGAATTCAATGGTGTATATATCTGAAATAATTGATATTAGTATAAAAAGATGAATAAAATACATTACATATAGGTAAATAAACATAAAAGTAAATTCAAACTTAATTAATGTAACTTACATGCAACAACTCTGCCTAACTCATGCTTCTTTGTTAGATCACACAATAGCTCATCTAACTTTATTTTAAACACTCTTGAGATTATATCCGGATGATCTTGAGGCTGCAAATTCATTTTGTTAAGCAACCTTTGAATTTCTGGCCAATTTGGATTGCAAGTAAAGGTGATAAAAAGATCTGAAAACCCAATTTGGCTACAAATCGCCATCCCATCAAAGTATAATTGCTCCATGTATCTCCGACTTCCAACATAACTTGATGGTAAAACCACGCTTTTACCTTTTTTTTTCTCCATGAGTGGTTAATTGTTGTTCTACTACAGTCAAATTAGAGTACTTGGAAACTCATAGTTTTTTCTGATGTTTGCAGATATAATTCAATCTTTGTGACTCCATCATAGTAAATCCATCAACCAAAAATTGTTGGAACAACCTCCTTGACCTCAACAGGGTATGTGCTTCGGTATGTCTTATTTGAATCGTAAAAGTAATCCATTCTCTAATGGTAAGTTTATTCATCTTCCCTTTTTTTTTTGGATTTGTTTCCCTATGTAGAACACCAAGTCTAAAACCATCTTCCCCATATGGAAACAAAAGTGGATATTGTAACGCAAGATAACTTGGATGAAATTCACTTATTCTTTTCAGCCTACCGCTTTGTCTCTCAAGGATAATATCCCTTTTAGAACCTGTGTCAACATCACCAACAATAAGTGCAGCCACCTTAGAGACAATAGGCTGGTTGTAAATTCGTCCATCTTTTGATCTATCGGATATTAACTTCAGTTTGAGGTCAGGTACAAGATAATTCTTTAGTCTATCTGCAACCATTCTAAATGATTTAGCATGTGTGTTGAATTCATCAAGCATGTGTTTCAACCTTGTAACAGTCTCTGGTATTACATTGGATTGTTCCTGTAGTATAAAACAAAATAATTAGTATGCATGAAAAACCAAATAAGGCGATGTAATGTAATAAAACCAACAAAAACCAACACAAATACAATGTAAGCAGGTTAAGTGCTATCAGAATGGTTACCCTATTCCATTCACCCTATGTTGAATTTCATTGTCAGTGTCGTAAATATAAAGCTGAGCAAATTTAGGTGTTTGTCCATCAAGAGGAATCATGTTCCCAATTCTATCGCAAGTATGACCATTCATTCTCAAGTTCGGAGGACCTCTTTCCGTATTGAATCTGTTGTCAAACTTCATACCAACAGACGTAAAGGCAAACATTATGTTGTATAATCTGCAATTTTGTTGATAATTTCTACATTCTTGATCGTTGTTATTCGACAACAGATGCTTAAGTAACAGTGGTGGTGTTTTCTAAAGTGGCAACACAACTTTACCATTTCCACAGCATAATTGAAACTTAGGAACTGCATTATGTTTTCGTTTTTCAATCTTCTCTTGATACCACATTAGGAAGATAATATTATAAACACAAATACACGCATAAGTAACACCAACATTACATGTTAAATAACTGTAAATTACCGGTTGCAAGAATATTGAAAATTTGGTAGAACGATACATACCAGCATTTGTACAGTTCAGTGATGTATAATCTGTATCACGGTCTTCTTCTTCATCGAATGTTGAACTTATATCATAGCAGGATTTCCATTTATGAATTCGCATGAACTATTGCTAAGTGATTCATCAGTTGCCTCGTTTGCAAATGAATCATTACCGTTATTGTTTGCGTTTGTATGAGAAGGTAATTTGGCTGTGGACGAAGAGGCACAATAATGATCAAGGTCTGAGAAAGTACTGAATAGGTTAGAAGTAATAGAATTAATGACATCAGCATCTACGCTTTTTTAGATGAACATACAAATCCATATTGATTTGAAAATGCCTTATTGTAAGTTTGATTACTATATGTGGAGGTTAAACTACTCAGAGGTGTATTTGTATTGTGTGTGAGTGAAGAATTGATCAACACATTACCAATGGGAGTGTTGAGGATATTGTAACGATTGCTGCATGTCCGTGAAAACTTCTGCTGAAGAATTTTCTTCCTTCTCTGTCTTACTGATGCAGCAATTTGTTTTGGGGACATGGTATCATGAGTAACAATTGGCTTGTAGGTGTCTGATGTAGAGTTTGGTGTTGTGAGATCACAGCTTGATGAAGAAGCATAATATTGGTTGTCAAAACTCCTCATCTTTAATAAAATGGAAGACACCATCTCATTAACACCAACATTCAATCTTTTAGCAGATGGTATTCTCGTTTTATCGAAAAATTCTGGTTTTTCTCATTCATCACAACAGAAGTAATGTTAGATAGTGGAGTTCTTGGAGGAATTCTGGATGGAGTATTGTATATCTTAAAGGCGTTGTTGTGGTTAAATATATTTTCTTCAACTCTTCTCCTTTTGGATCTTCTTTCTTTAAGAAGTTGCTTCCTTTTGTGTCTGTTAAGTTTGGCAATAATTTTCCTTTCCAAGAACATGGTTGTCCATGGTTTTTAGAGATGATACCTGTAAATTAATTTGTCTGCTTGTGACTTTGAGAAATTGTATTTGATGAAATATTTTTACATACTATATCTTGAACTGGTCAGTATGGTTGTTCCCTCTTTGTTTGAAATTGTGGTTCCATGTGATATTGAAGTTAACATGGTTTTGTTTAATGAGTTATATTACGAAAGATATAAATATTAATTAAAATATTAAGTTGTATAACCTATTGGAAAAAAGATCTAGTTTAATGAATAGGTAGGCTTATAAATAAAACAATATAAGGAAAATTGAAAAGCCAACTTAAGTGTAAACCGTAAAGCATGTGTACAATAAGTGATAACTTGCGGTTATCAACAATTACCAATGTGTAATAAGTGTTATGTTGGAAACTTAAAAGCATGGGAATGCATGCTTCACAGTTATATTCTATTGGATTTTTATCTCAATGAATGACACGTTTGACCAAGCAATATTTGAGTTATATTGGAAGGATTTTTATCATAATTACTTTCTGAGACATCACATCCGTGCAATCACCTTTTCGATTTTGAGAAGCAACATTTTGCATGTTAAGTTTTTGTATATAAGATAAGACTCGTGTAGGTTTTGCATAGATATCCATCGAAAACTTTGGTTGTATTAGAACAACAAACAACTTTCTGCATATCATTTGTAAAATCAAGCCACCTAAAAGTTGAAGATGTCTTCTCCAACCTTGAAAGGGTAAGTGAAATAATCAAATCCAGAAACAAATTTGTTTACACTGAGTAATACCTATTATATATTTTTTAAATGTAGTTTTCTACTGATTTATGAACATTTTACGTTTACAGTTTTTTACCACTCAACACTGATCAACTCTATGGAATGCTGCTAAACATTAAGGAAGAACCCCAGACACCCAACGTACCACCCGGAGTTATTTTCCTGAGAATAATACTACATTGAAAGAAGTTAAAAAGGAGACAGAAGTGGGACAATTGTCCAATGCGAAGAATAGTGTTGGAGATTTGAAGAAGGAGGTTTCTTTCATTAAAGAAATCAGCAAGCCTGGGAGTAGGGGCAATCAAGTTTTTGTAAGTAATACCTTTAACTAATTGTGCCAATTAAAATACTACATGGTAATGAGTTATTTGATAGTGTATCCATGTGTTATAACTTTAGTGACTATATGCATTTTTTAGCATTTTCCAGCTAAAGTTCGACTTAAGGCCCTCCGTCCCGACATTACTTCGTGTCTTATTAGGGATTTTGACACGAGTGAGTATCTTCCATGTAAGATCATCAAATTAAATAATCCAAATGGTGAAATTTCTCTTAGAAAAGGATGGTATTCTTTTGCGAAGTCCAAAAAGCTTAAAGTCGGAGATAAGTTTCATTGCACATACAGATCAAGGGAAGAAATTCTATATGTTAGGCTCCAGAGAAAAGGAAAATAGAATCATTTTTAGATCTTGAACCTACTATGATCACATGCATGATGTTTTCTTGAAAGGTTAACTAATATTTCATATTCTAATGACTGGGTTAAGTATGTTATTTTTTTTACTGCTATTATATAGCAGTGGTTGTGATCCATGTTAAAACTTTTGTTTAATTACTAGTATGTAACTTATGGCATTTTCTGATAATATGGTTGGGAAATGTTTGTTGTATTTATGGTATATTAATATAAATGAAGCTGTATAAATTATTAACATTTCCATAAAAATTGTATATAAGTTAGTTTGTTGAAAAGAAAAATTGTAATTAAAACTTGGAACTAACCTGGAAGGTTAAAATGATTTGAAATTAACAGAGATGAATATTGTCAAGCGGATCAAAATGTGATTTGATTGATATTTTGTGGCTGTAATAAATAAATTTAAGATATGTATCAATGGTGAGTGTAAATGGACTGATTAGGCAGAATTTCACCATTGCAATTTATAGTAAGAATTATTTATTGTCTAAAATCAAGTTTAAAGGAGTGTGAAATGGTTTATAACAATCTGTATTTGAAATGGTTTATACCAAACTTTCTTTGAAATGGTTTATATGACATATATGGTGTATTTTTGTAAAAAAATATGCTTTATCATAATGTTCTGAAGTTGTTACTAAGCATGGTTACGACATGAAAAATAGCCAAAAGTTTGGTTTGACAGGTTTTATGATTTTCGGCCATATGGACAATCCTACTGTTTAGAAAACATTAATTTGGGGTAAGCTGTTCGAACTTTGTAAGGTTAAATTGTGATAGGTTTTAATCAAGGAGCAACTATTAGTCAACAACTGCAATAAACAAAATCTGATAACAAACTGACCTATAAAATAAATTATATGCAGTATGCAATTTTCTTTTAAATAGACATTGTAACTTTGTAAGCAAACAAAAGGGTAACACTCCAACTGTTTTGAATAAAATTCTCTTTACAAATTGCATTAAAACAAAAACTTATCAACACTTTTATGAAGTATAAGAAATGGAACATGAACAGGAACATTGTAAAATCAATATCATGAAAATGCATGCATATGGTTTTCCCTTTAGTTCCATATAATTCATGTCCATGCAACATTGTGAAATCAGAGTATGTTGAAGCTTCAATACATAATTGGTTCTTTATATGTTTAAAACTATATGTGGGCAGTTACCAAATAATAAGAACCTAAAACATGTATCATAAGAAGATCATGTCAATAAAATTTTATACATTCATATTGGGAGCAAAGATAAATGCATTCCTATTGGAAGCAAATATGAAATTCAGTTGATGAAACAGTTTATGCATACATTTAGTATATCTGTGATCTATTGGAAATAAACACTTAACTTACGTGATACTAACCAAACATACATGGTCCAACTGTTGTAAAAATTAAATATTCCCAAATGACATAGACCCTGCAGTTTGTTTTCAATAAACTAAAGTATAATAGTTATCAATTAATGTTGAATGTAATGTAAGTCAAACAATTGGATTTTCCATAAATTTTGATTAATATTCAACCCAGAACATTTCAAAATAAAGTAACATTACCAAAGTAAATTATCTAAGAAACACATTATATTGTTCAAATCAAAAAAGGATAAACATGCCTAATAAATAACAATAACTATTTCTCCATTTTGATATCTTTAGTAATCTTGGTTGAGGATAGTTGAACACTTTCAAAATCACCGACTGCATCACTTAGAGACCTCTTAGATGGAGTAAGGCCTGTAATTGGAACTGCAGGGTCATAATCTGCAGATGCAGATAAGTTCTCCTGCCATGAGGATTGATGAAACAATTATCAGAAATAGATTATAGTTTTAACATATAGAGGACAAACTGTAAAAATCTGAAAAAATATAAACTCACAAAAATAGTTATCAATTCATCATGGGATGATAGATCCAAGGTTTGAAGCTTTGAAGTATGCTGCAATGTCCAAACAATATTAGTCAACTTTAGATAAAAGGGTTATAAAATGAAGTTAGACAACAGGGTTATAAAATTAAAGAGTTATCAAAAATAACCTCTTCGGATCTGAAACTATCCTTTATCTTTTAACGTGTATACTCATCATCTTTGAAGCTTACAACAAATAGTCGGACCTTATTAGGATGGAAAACAACTCTTATTGCTAATTCCTTTTGGAGAATTGCATCAAGTTCATACGGGAATTCAAGCGGATCATAATCTCCGGACTAAATAAAAAAAAGATGTGTATGAAACATGGTATAAAATGAATAAGCCTGAAAAAGATAATAAGTATACCTCAATCAAATCCATTTTGATTTGAAGTGAAGACTTTCCAATTAACTTAACGCAGTCAACGTCCCAAAAGATAAACTTGTACTTGAATTTTCCATCGGAAGACAAAACTTCGAGCTTAAACCTACAATATTTGTGACAAAAATTAATTATGTCAAATATACAATGACCAAAATAGGATAGTAACATGAAAATTATAGACAACATATCTCGGTACTGCCTCTGCAGATGCATGTTTGGAATAACATGTAAGCTTCCCATCCTTCAAAGTCACGCTCTTCGTGCAATCAACGCATCCATCGTAATACCACCCTGACTGCCCACACTCAAATTTCTCTAACTTTGCCATAGTTACACAGGTAGTCTCCTAAAAGGATTCATATTATTATTAATCCAACACATTTGAAGGACATTAAAAAAAGAACATATACATGATGGAAACATGAATGAATAAGTGGGATGAATTACATGTTGTTGTAAATTGATTTCAGAAAGATGCAATATTTCGGCTTTCCAAACAAACTTATCAAACTCAAAAAACTGTGAGTTATGTGTTGCATCAATTTGGAGACTTGACGACAGTAGTGTCAAATCATTCTTAAGACTGATGTATGCAAAAAAGTATACAGAGAAGCATGGTTAATTTTTCAAATTGTAGAAAGCAACATCTGTAAGTCTTTTAACAACAAAAATACGAAATGTATGTATACATAATGCAAATATACCCTTCTTTAAGTTTGTTAATCTCTTCAATGGTGACATCATTAATCAACAGTTTTGTTCCATTCCATGAACTGGAAACATTCAACGGATAACCTCCAGCAATGTACCAAAAATAAGGCATAGTAAGATATAAACAAACTTAACATTTCAAAATTCCTTTGTATAAATCAAGAAGTGAAAAATGAAAATGTAGATTTGACTCAAATTTATATGTATTACCTCGAGGTTCCTTAATCCTTGCATTAATAAGTAGAATAACAATATTTCCATCATCCTTATGATTCATATAATATTGGTAAAATTGTACAACAAGTTTTCCCCACAAAGTACAATGTATAGGATTTTTGGTGTACCAACAAACATTGTTAGTAAATGTTTTAATTAAAGGTACATTGTACTGCGGAGATCAAAGTACATTCAACATACCTCAAGTCAGTCAATGTAAAGACAACTTTTCTCTTGTTATTATCAACAATTATCTGTGATTGAGTTATCTTAGTAACTCCTCCAATAATATCTATAAAGAAATTTGAGGATTAAATTCAAATTATGTGATTACTATTAACAAATATACATATAAAACAAATTAACAAATGTGTTTAACTCACCAACCAAAAGATTTGACTCAAATTTCCCATCAACTATTGCATCCAATCCAAGTATGTTAAAATAGTTCAACGGAATGTCAGAAAGTTCATTTTTTTCACTGAAGTAGATCCACAGAAAATCAATTTGAAACTATGCTTAGTAGACCTAAAAGTGAATTCATTGTTGGAGACTTTAAAATTTTGCATGATGTAAGAACATCAAACTGGAAGTTGCATCGTAAATTTTGGAACCAAATAAGGAGGTATGATAACTTGAAACATGTCGAGCTGCATACAACGGATTTAGATTTATTAGACAACAATAACAAATGTGAAGAAATTTGCATCATAAGTGAACAAAAGATATTACCTTTGAATCAACCAAAATCATCTCCAAGTGTTCTTTGTTTGAAGCACTGGTGACAGTCCACAGATGTTTACACCTGACAGCTATCTTCCATAAGTCCTTTGAATCATTGATGTCCTTCACAGCTTCAACAGGGTGAGCCATACCGTGAATATCTGTTTGCTATATTATCAAATGGATCAACAGTTAGTTAGTATCACATATATGTTGATTGAGATAAGAAAATGACAACAGCAACATTTTGGAAAATGAAATATGAAGAGAAGAATTAGGAAGAGACCGTTGTAATTCTTCAGGGTTTGATTTGTGATACTTGATAGGCATTCTGTAATGTCATCTTTTTGGTACCCAATTACTCAAGGTTGCTGGAAAATTGTAAAAAGTTTGGTCTCTTCAAGAGACCTTTCAGATTCCGCAATAAGTTTATATTTCCAACTAATTGGCATAATACTCATTATTAGGTTTATATTGGTTTATTAAAACATTGGTTAAAAAATAAACAAAATCTTGTAAGTTGGCATAATGCTCATTATTAGGTTTATTTTGGTTTATTAAAACATTGGTTAAAAACTAAAAAAAATAATGTAACAAAAATTGGTGTGATGCCACATCAGATGCAATAAATTCCCGATGAATGTGGTGATAGTAGATTAATATAAAGTCATGTTTGTCATTTGTAATAAGTTAAAGTATATTTTTTTAAGTGGGGTAAAATTGGTATTTCTAGGTACTTTTGTTTTTATAGTTGTATATTAGATTCCATACTTTTCTAAAGCATCACGTGAAAATAAAAAAAATGTTTTTGAAAATTGAAAATGTATTGGTACGTATAAAGATTTAGATTTTAGTAGAAGAGACATTATGTATCAATTGAAAATTAACCAGAAATATAATTACAGATGCAATCGTAATTATATTTCTAGAAACGCTTCAAATATATACATTTTTTAAGACTGAGATTCTCAAGCTAACACGCAGATACGAATCAAAAATATATTTATAGTTGGAACTGTAGTTGTATTTTCGTTTTGTTTGACACTTAAACGCACGCTGCCTCTTCTCTTTCCTCATTTTCAAAAACTATTTGAAAACAAAAACACTCAACACCCAAAAACCAAACTATCTCAAACTCCATTGTGTCAAAATCATCTTATTTTGCGAAAATTTCATCAGAAATCATCAAGCATCAGATAAAGTTTAGTGTTCAAGCAGATTCAAGAAAAAAATCATTACTTGTAAGTTGTTTTGAGCTTTTTAGAGTTTATGTAATTTTACCTACAAATTCTGTTTTAGGATCGAAAATTCAATTTTTTTAGTGTTTGCAATGTTATGAGTCATAAGAAACGTGTTAGGTATGTTTTTTGATGATCAATGACCATTTTTTAAGGTCATTGGGGTTGAGCTTCGCCTTTGATGAAACTCTAAAGTTGTAGGTTGTACCAGACATGCATTTACGGTTTTGTTCAACGTTTACATAAAAAACCAGAACTGCATATCCAATTTTATTCAGTCTGTATTTTTCCAAATATTTTGAACTTGAGTCTTATTATTAACGTTTGTTTCATTCTTCTACAAGAGTAATGACTGAGAAACCATCTAGATTGAGACACGACATGTTTGCACAACATGCTTCTGTGCAGAGGGAAATGAGTCAGGCATCTCAGGCTCCTTTTGCCTCTGGACAGGCTGTGGCAGATGCGTTTACAGCCTCCGGTGTTCATGTCTCTACACCTACTTCATCATCTTCAGTTCATGCGCAGAAGATCACTAAACTCTAAGCTCCTTCTAAGCCATGGTTTGGTGAGTTGTTGCAGCTGACAAGGTTTAGAGATTTGACCCTCACTATATATACTACCGTTAATCATGGTATGATTAACGATTTTGTTGAGAGATGACACCATGAGACGTCTTCGTTCCATCTACCACATGTTGAGATGTCGATTACACTGGATGACATCACGTGTCTGATAAGAGAGAAGTTTTTAGACCATGACAGGTGCGACAAAAAGGAGCCATTGGAGTTGTTGGTAGAGAGATTGAGAGTTTCAACTGAGAGTGTCATGGTTGAGATGGACGCCAACCATGGTACTCACTTCAAATTTAGTTAGTTGAAGAAGGTGTTCACGGATGAGGTACAATGTGCACGATAGGATGATGGTGATCCCGAGCAGGTTACCCATTATTGGAGGTGTGCTATGAGAGCATGCCTTTTGTATATGATTGACACGACCATTTTTATGGACACTAGTGCCACTTACACTGATATCATGTACCTGGGTTACTTTGGTAATTTTAAGCAGATCCATGAGTGGAACTGGGAGGCTGCTTGTCTGGTGTACTTGTATCATAAGTTGTCTGATGGTTGCAAGTGGAAGACGAAGCAGATGACCGATAATATCACACTCCTGACAGTAAAATTTATTGGTCTTATATTGTGATTCTGTTTTGTTAATTATTGTGATTCTATTACTAACTAGTAATCATCCCGAGTTGGTCACTTGTTGGGGGTTATACTAAAGAAAGGTTGTATGCCATTGCATTAGAGCCGCTCCGAGGGAACTAGACGGCATAATTATTCCAGATGTATACTAACCGATTGGTGTTTGAGGATATACATTTATATACCTACGTCGACCATTGTGTCATGATTCCATTTGACGATGTTACAATGTATTATGGATGGTTGACTTGCAGGTCGTGCAAGACGGCTGCTCATCTGCCTGAGCGTGCCATGGGTCAGTTCGGGTACATGTAGTATATTCCCCAGGATCATGTTATTTGTGCTCCTCCCCTGGTGAAAAGGAGGGACATGAATGCTTTGTTTAATGATTATGTTAATCATCTTGTGCTAGATGAGGCCCAGAGTACCTTAGCACCAGAAGACATGAGCTACGTGGCCGGTTATATCATATGGTTCTTCAGGGTGTTCCATCCATATCTAGTACATGATGCTCCAGGAAACCCACTGAGGCAGCTCATCGGGAGATTCCATAGGAGGAGCAGGGTAGGTCCGATCATGCTACTAATGTGTTGCCTAGGTGCCATCGTATCATGGACATTACACAGGCGGGTATTGATGGAGATCTGTTTCTTGATGGCTCTGATTTTAAAGGTGTTCTAAATGTCATCGTGGATGAGGCTCAGGGGGCTCTACAGTACAGGAGGAAGTAGAGGAACGCCTGAAGGGGGACGTGCCGACTCATAGTCCGCCATACCCAATAGTCTTCATTGTTGTATATGTATTTTGGTTCTGATTCCTTTTTGTTTATCGATTTTTAGATTGTTGTTGGATAATATGTTAGGTTATCGTCTTTATCGACTACATACAATTTTCGTATTCTTGACTTCTCTCTCTCTCTCTCTCTCTCTCTCTCTCTCTATATATATATATATATATATATATATATATATATATATATATATATATATATATATATATATATATATATATATATATATATATATATATATATATATATATATATATATATATATATATATATATATATATATATATATCTTTGTTCTATATGTCTTTGTATTCATTTTGTAGTTTCTAAAATGAGAAACAATGCGAAAGTGGCTACTGCTTGTATAACTTTTTCTGCTACTGTTTTCATAGGAAACAAAAATACATTTACGATTCCATCCTATAACTGTATTTTCGATTTTGAAGTATGTGCAACACAAAAAAGATACGTCCCAAAAATATATTTTGGCTTCCACATGGGCATTTTTGGAATTGCATATGGTGTTTTCAACCTTATAGGATGGGTTAAGAAATTCCCAATATCTATGTGCATATTTGTGACAAAAATTAGGTCAACTGCGACAATTTTCTAAAATTATATTTTTAAATTAAAATTATGGTGTATTACATTAATCATCTGAAATAAATCTTTAATTTAAATTTTATTTATTTAGTTTCTTAATATCTAAACTTTCACAAAATTAAATATGAATAAGTGTAATATCTTTTGTTCAATATTGAGATGGAGTTAAAATCACTTGATATCATAACTAACTCTTTGAATTAGACTATACGGGTGATGAAAAAAAATTTCTTTACACTTATAACTAAATTGGTCCAACGAGACAAATTTAAATATATTTTACATCATTGTAAGTATATTTTACTTTAGATAAAACATTATGTAATAATTTAATCTATGTATAGGGAAAAATAAAATTTGATTGCTGTATAATTTATTCATATGCTTTAAGCAAACCAAAAGTCTTAAAAAATTATGAATTCTTGTTGACGCGAACTTCTTCAAGGATACAGTAATCCGAGGAAAGACAGGGCCAATACCTCTCCATTTTTTCAAGCGACTCAAGCAAGATCATGTCATACATAAAAAACTATCGAGCTCAGAACAAGTGTCAGGAAGTCATGATTGCATAATATCCTACTAGAGGACCTTTCCATTGACAAAAAACTTCAGAAGAACCTTTCTCATTTTAACCGTTTGTAACCCTACACAGGGGCACCTGTTGAAACATTTGAACCATAATCCATAATCATAGCATGCATTCATCAATCATGTATTACCTTAGTATCAAACCATGCACATCATTCATGGGGCATCCTCTATAGCATCTACAACTAGAAATCTTAAACTTTGCTTGGACTTTTCCATAAAAAACCAAGGTCTAACTACATATTTACCCAAAAGCCCAACATTCATTGGTACACATCCAGTTATCCATTACATGCATTGAGAAGCCCTCATGCATTGTTTCATGCGTATCAATACGCTAAAAAAAACAAAGACATCTCATGCAGCATACATGCATTTCATAAGCCAAGATTCAATGATAGCTCATGGAAATCCATAATCCATAATAAATCCATTGTAATCATTCTCTTCTTTCCCACCTTCATCAATCCTTTGGTAGAAGTTGGTCAGTTTGTTGTTACCTTCATCAATCCATTGGATGCCATTGGGCATCCTTCATTTCTTTTCATTAGTACACTAGCTAATGCTAGCCTTCCTTGTTTTCTTTCATCAGCACATTAGCTGATGTTGTTTTCTTTAATTGGAATCAAATCATTAGTTGATAACAATTTGTTGTTTACCTTCATCAATCCATTAGTTGATGTTAGCGTTGACTTGTTTGTTCGGACTCAATCCATTGGTTGA